ATATTAAATGAAAAAAAACTTATAGAAAATATATATATAAAAAAAAAACAAGATGATATTATGTGAGATGGGATGCTTACACCCAGTGCTTCATGGAAAATGTAGTTTGAGGAAAAACAAACATTTGTAATTGTCTGCGGGAGGCAGAAACAACAGATTTGAAAAGAAGAGACTCAGTCGTAAAGTGACTGGTCACTCAGAATGCATTTATCTTAGTATTGTTCATGTTATTTATTTTATATTTTGTTAAAACTGTGATTTAAATTGTACATATATAAACAGAAACTCTTGAACATCCAATGAGAAGCTGCTTCGTTTGTGTGTCCAGATTATTTCTTTACAGGGAATCAAACCATCATATTTTGTTTTTTATGATTTACAACACAACAACACAACAGACATCGTACTCACAGACAAAATATCAAACTTGTCAGAAAATCATCCGACACACTCACACCTACAGTCAAGTCAAGTAGAGTCTCCAGTTAACCTAACGAGCATGTCTTTGGACTGTGGGAGGAAGCCGGAGAGAACCCACACATGCACGGGGAGAACATGCAGACTCCACACAGAGAGGCTCCTGTCAAGACGGGGAATCGAACCAGGAACTCCATAACAACATAAATGAACAAAATTGTTCAAACTGAATATTTGTTTACGGTTGTGTTCAGTTGACTTTTCTGTCACCTCAGATATTCTTTTTGTGATTCCAAACTTCTTTGTTAAGACAGAAAGTAAGCGAAAATGAAATGTTTGTTATCTGTTTGCTTGTTCACTTAGTAACCACGTCTCGCTCTCATCCAGTGGCCCTGCCTTCTGTCTAAACAGCGACTTCAGCCTGTTTTCTATCCAGGAAGAAGACACCTGACAGGACCTGGTGTCATCAGTGTCTCTCTACCATCCCCTCTCTCTCTCCAATGGTCATGTATGGAAAGAGCTCAGCAGTGTTTCCACAACAAACACAACAGGAGCTGTCTCTGCTCTGCTTTCTCACCGCTCTTCATCACCTCTGTCAACACGCTCGCACCTCAAGTGTCAGCTGGAAGAATGAGGCGACCGAGACTCTCCGGTTTGTGCTGCAGTGGACTGTGATTCACTTTCATTAAATAAACAGAGATCACATAGGTGAGGCGACGCATGTTTCTCTTCTGTCATGAGGAGAAATTCAATGACTAGAGATCGTTTTTAAATTTCTGAAGTTTAACTTTCACCCAAGAGTTCCATCGTGTTTGTACTTTAAACTTCAACTGTGAGACGTTCTGGATGATTAACATCAATCAATACTGTTACCATCAGTTTTTATGAATTAGGTTTCCCTTTGGATTTCATAAACAATTTACATTTAACTACCTATAAAAAACTTTAAAGTGTTTAAGACATTTTCAAGATCTTCATCCAGTCCAGCTGCCTTTGGATCAAGCTTTGAATTGACCATGACCTGGATGACTGAGAACCTACACAGACATACAGTATATAAGCAAATGTTAAATGGACTTGAGCTTGGATAGCACTTTTCTAGTCTTCAGACTCTGACAGTAGAGGCTGCTGTGTAAAGAGTCCATCAGTATCAGCTAAACCATTCATACGCGGGAGCTACTTGGGGGTTAAGTGTCTCGCCTAAGGACACATCGGACATGTGGCTGAAGGAGTTGGGGATCAAAGCCCCAACCGTCCAGTAGACAGGCGACTGACTCTACCACTGATCCACAGCCACAAAGTCAATAATGTCCTACAAAACTGCATAAAATCTAAACATGGGACATGTTTACTGCTACAGCGTTAGAACTTCTCCAGGGCTTCAAAAAGTGAAAAAATGAACATGAGCCAGATGAATACTCCAAGAGATAAAAAAAAAGAAGACACAAGGCTAAAACAATAACATATTTATGGTTTTAGTTATTTACTATGTACATCATTTAATGATTATTTAACTGACATGTTTGACTGATGCTATAATGTACTTTGATATTACTGCATCAGAGCTCTGTGAAGTCAAAAGGCAAATGTCCCATTGGGGTAATATAGTCCATCTTATTTGATCTCACCTTAATATCTTAACCTTCTCATTATGGTGCAGAAAAGGCACTAGCTATTGCATGAGAAAATTCTCAGAAAGCAGGAAAAGAAACGTTTGGTGCTGATGTCTAGGAAGGACTAACTCTACCTTCAACAAAATCTTTTTTTTTTTTAAAACACAAATTCATTAAAAAAAAATTAAAAAAAATCGACACTCAGCAAAACATTTTATCAATAAAACCTAAACTGGTAAAGGGGGCACTGCTTCTAAAGAAATTCAAATTTATCTTGTGAATTTCAATATCTGAAAACTCACATTTTGTTTCTCTCTTTCAGACAAACTCAGTAAAACAATATTGAAAAGAACCAATTTTTACAAACCTCTTAATCTTTACATAGATTTGTGAAAAAGCTGGCGAGTTATTTGGTAACTGGAAAAACCCAAAAAAGGCAGAAAGACAAAAAGAAAAACCACAGCGAGGTGTTCTTGATCCAAGAGGAACTTTAATAGAATTGTTAAGGGCAAAATATGTGTCAGCACAACATGGCAAAGAAAGGCACGTCTACTGTTTCCACAAGGCCTTAATGTGAGTTAATGTGAGGGTTCAAAGCTTCATCTAGCAGAAGAAAGAAACTCTCTAAGTGCTCCATAGAAAACAAATCAAACCAATAGACAACATGATCTAGTGTATTCGTCTCTAAATATATTACAGCTCTGTTACTTTTATATATATAAATATATATATAAAGAAATTATACAAAATAAAGAAAACTAAATTCATCTTTTTAAATCCACATTCAAATCACTTTTTACTTCATAGAATATGTACACGCTCGTCCTCTTCAACAGAACTGAAAGAAAGAAACAGGGAGAGAGATATTCAAAGATCTGTGAGGAGAAACTAAACGAATGTTTGGCAAAGATTTTTAAAACCTCACTTAGTTTGGTTGAACTTCTTTGTGTTTGTTTTAAGATGTCAAAGCCTTCAAACACGTTTCTTAAAGTGCAAACCAAACACTTCCCCCCCACACACACAAGAACAAATGAGTCGCTTCACCTTGACCTAGAGCCAGCGGCTAAATAAGGGAGGCGGGGGAGGGGCAGGAAAAACTACAGGAGTCAATGCGGAGAGGGAGAGGAGGTGAAAAGGACAACGAGAAGGTATGACATGTAAACAAGAAGGGGAGGAAGAGGAGAATGAGGAAGAGAAGGAGGAGGGGGTAGAGATGGCAAAGTGAAAAAAAGAAAAGAAAAGGAAGTAGAGAGGGGAAAAAGATGAATCAAAAAGGTGGAAAGTGGAAAGTTTTGGGGAAACAATGTGAGCATATACAGGAAGGGCGAGAAAGAATATAAAAGGTAAAAGGAAGCAGCACCAACTCAAAGTTAGTAAAGATGTAGAGAAACAAGAAACCTAAGTGTCTGCTGCCATCTTGTGGCAAGATTCTGTTACTGACACTTAAACTTTTTATTTTACATATAGGTTTAAATGATGTACTTAATCACTGACATTTCAGTTAAGCTTCAGTATATAATCGTATACTTTAATAATAAAGATCTAACACTAGAAGAACAAGTTACGTATTTAACAAAGATTTGACAAAAACTTTACACGGTTGATTTTATTTCTATGTTGGGACTCTTATTTAGGGTTGTGGGAAAAACAGATTTGTTTTGATGTGATGTGCAGATATACAGACAGCTGGTTTACTATGCAGAACATCTGATGACTATTGATTGGTTTTACTGAGTTTTTAACATTTCATCAGGTAATCAGCTGTTTGAAAATAGTTTTTTTTGGTTTATTCACCTTCCAACGGTTGCCACAGCTGTTACACAGCACAAAGGTGGTCATGGGCTCATCAGCACTGCGGGTCTGAACCTAAAACACACAAAATCAAACACGATTGTAGGGTCAGCAGGGAATAAGACACAGAAGAGTCAACCATTTTTAACTGTCCACATGTGAAGACGACATGGTCCGCTACTCTCAAAACACATTTTACAAAATAAAAAAGCATTTCAATTTAATTACTCTACACAAATGTGTGCTAAACTGCGCCATGGATTGTTTTTGAGGACTTGTGCATTTTACATATTTGATTAAGTTGATATTTCTACCCATCCAATGACCCTGTCTAGAAGTCGTTTATCATGGGCAACATTAAAGGGGACATATTGTGAAAAATCCACTTGTACAACATGTGAAATAAACCCATCCAGTCCTTTGTTTGTGGTCGGCGTAAGTCTTACAACACAGAGAAAAATGCTCCGTTTCAAATGTGCTCTCCTTGTGATGTCACAGTGGGATTCTGGGGGAAAAAAATCCCCTCTCCTCCCCTGGTATCTCCACCCATGGACTCCACCCCCAGCCTAGATTAAAACTTTTGATCAGGTCCACCATTTTTATTCTCTCTACAGAGGAGTGATGTCTACAGGGAAAACTCAGGGGGGGTCATTCCATTTAAAGAGACACACACACCATAACGGAGTGTTCTGAGAGAGCTAGTTTATACAGGGTCACAAACCTCCTGTGGTGCTTGATTAATGTTATATTTTGACCAAAGCACAGCACAGATGTTTCATTTAGACCACAGGGGGACTGTTTGAAAAGGTGGAAAAGGGGGATTACATATCCTCTTTAACACAAAACAAACAAAGGTTTCTTCATGAAAATATAAATTGTAAATAAAATAAAACAAGTTAATGCTGAAGCTTAAGCTTTCAATCTGACTAAATCATGTCCCCTTTTTAAATGAAATAGAGTCAAGCCTTTAAATAGTTACACTCAAACAAAGCAGAACTAAGATTCAAATACTTCATACAAAGACGATGTGAAACACAGTGTGTAATGTGTGTGTTTGTCTGTGTACCTGTGTGTACGTGCAGCTCTTTCCGTGACACTTGTTGCAGATGAACATGTCAGTCTCACTTCCCCCCACCTTGGACAGCTGATGCTCTCTGATGGACTCTTTAGTCAAGCTTCTCTGATCTGCTTCAGCTCGGCACTCGCCATCTCCTGCACACACACACAAAACACAACATACACATCTCAAATACACCGCATGTCCACCAACTGCATTCAAATATTGACAGTGAAGATACAATCTGGAGCAAAAGGAGACACCACATGCCATCTGTAACCTGATGGGACCTAATGTCTGCACGGCTGACCTCGGCAGTCATGCAGGCGATGCGTTTGGCTGAGATGTTTCCACAAAGGACGTTTCGCCGCAGATCGGGATTCTTCTGGTCCTTCAGGTTGGAGATTCGGCTTCGTAGACGAGTTTTATATTTCATATCTGTCACTTTTAACTCCTGGAAGATCTGTGGGGACGGCAAGCAGTCAAGGACAAAATACACTCACATTTTTAATGAAGTCTCAGATCTGTCAAAAGCATTTCTTTACTTTCAACTAAGGGGGCACACAGAAGAACTGAGCAATCTGAAACACACTAGACCTATTCAGACTGCTGTTCCAAGCCGCTATTTCTACTTCTCTGTGACACTTCATCTTCAATCTCAAAACTGTCTGAAGGGACAACAAGTTTGCTTTAATATTATTAGATCCTCATCACAAGTGCAAAGTAAATGTAACGTAAAGGGAAGGCCATGTTGTTAGCTGAAACAGAAGAGCTTAACCTTTGTATGGCGGCCCTAAAAGGACATCTTGAACCCTGTTTCCACCAAACGTTCCGGTTCAGTTCGGTTCTGTACAGCCCCCATTTATCGGTGTTTCCACCATCAAAAGTTGGGAATGGTACCAAAATAAGGGATCGAAACCGTCCTACTTTTTTGGTACCTTCTGTTGGGGTGCCAAGGGTCCAGATCCGACCCTAAAGGGTCCCTTTTGTTTACCGTGTCCCGTTCTTCTTTCTCGTTGAACTTAGTTAACAGTGGGCTTCACTGTGTTGGGCTGCTATGATGTCACACTATTACATAGCTGACGCGGCTATCTCCATCTGGCTTGGGCTCCGCTTACCAATTACCGAATTGAATCAAACTGTACTGAACCAAACTGGACCACTTGGTGGACTTGACTCTGCATAAGTCTGAGTACTTAACTCTCATCCGCGTCAACTGTGTTCAAGATTATTTATTATGTCCAACTTTTTAAACAACATATTTATCTTAGAGGAAGAGTTTGTTGAGCTGTTGACCTCTACACAGAAAGTCGTTTCTGTCTGTAAGTTTACCCTCATCGATGTAAATGAAGCGGACAAAATGCTGAGCAGACAGACGGACCAGCATGGCCCTCACAGAGTCAAATAGCAGAGGTAGCTTTGTTTATCTTACACAGTGGAACACACCCAGTCAGTACACTCAAATTAAGATCTTTCACTCATGTGTGTCATCCACTTTTGTTTGTTATCTGTTCATGTGTAATCTTGTCAAAGTGTGAGCTGCTGAACTGAAAGGATATCCTCTTCAATGTTTGCTGCCAGGTGCTCACAGTCCGCTCCGATGGTCTTGTGGTCATCTATAAAAAAAAAAACATAACTTTCAGCTTCGAGTGCATTAAAAGTTTCATATATAATCAATTCAATTTAAACATGGCTTCACAAAAGTCAAATAACAGTCACATAGAGAAACAAAATCACAACAGGCTTGTGACTTAACATATTACCTTTTATAAGAAGATCTCATAAACAACTAAAGGATCGCTTTTTATCTTTGTTCAGCTATTTAATATACTCTATAGAAGCCCTGATAAAACAAACAAAATACCAATTCATCCACCATTTCTAAGAATCTTGTCTCTCCTAAGGTTTTCTATCAATCCTTCATTTTCCTGTAAATGAAAACACACTTTAAGCAGATTTAACGAGTTTTGTAAAGATATTAACATTAAAAGGTATTAGACATTAACTGTCAGGACCTTCTAAAATGTTTCTATCAAGAAGAAATACATGACAGAGAAGTGCTGCTCTAGAGCCTCTAGTGTTCAAAATGAGTATTACAACAATAAAAAAACCTTTCAAAACTTTTTGCCTACCTGTTTTCACAGATGAAAAAAAAGTAAATAAACAAATTGTCAGTGCAAAAGCATTTTTTTTACACCTCCAAAAACCTTTACTGATAATTAGAAGTGTTTAGGAAAATTGAATCACGCTTTCTCACTAATACAAAAATTATGAAGCTTTGCGTCAGTACACTGATGTCACACGCCCCTGATGAAATCACCTGACAGCTGGCTGATGAATAATTGCTTCTTATCTAGTTTATTGTTAATCAATATATAAGAATACGGAATTGTTTGATATCAAGATCACCTGTATCTGAATTATTGAAAAAGTTTGCTATGCTTTAATTTAGAAATATGACAAGCAGTTTTACAATAAATCTCTCTGTTTAAACATGATATCAAACATACTCTGCCACTTGACGTTGTGTTGTTTCCAATTTCTTCAATTCAAAGAGTATTCAGGTGTTTTTTTGTATTTGTTTTACAAAGAAAGATTTTCTTCTCACCATCAGTTTGCAGTGCTGCCACCAGCAGCTCTCGACACTTGTTCCTCACACTGTCAGTGGTGACGGGAGCTGGGGGGAAGGAGGTGATCCGAGGAGGGAGGGTCTGGGGGGTGGGGCTTGTGGGGCTGCTGGGTGTTGTTGGGGTCGTAGGGTTGGTCGGGGTGGTCGGGGATTCACCAGACTTCTCACTGCTAAAGATAAAATAAGAACAATAGAAAATGTACTAAACACATGAGACTCTTAAAAACTTGAACTTATGTGATATCATCATTTGTGACCGACCTTTTCTCGCTGCTGCCAGAGTCCTTTGAGGTTGATGACGACCTCACAGGAGAGCCGTCCTTCTTCTTTTCCTTATCCTCCGAACCGTCTGCAGGTACAGAAACAAAAACACACGGAAATGTATTTTTGGCTCAAACCCTAAAAGAAAGACACATTACTTTGTAGACAAAACATTTCTTACATGTTCAGTCTAACCTGTAGAGGAGTGTCAAACATAGTTGGAACAATATTTCATGAAGTAACATTTCTATACAACATCATGCCAATTCCATAGACGGTTTAATAACAGTTGGATTCATAGATAAATACTGAAAGGAGGACACACTTCATAGATACAGAATAGTATGTGTCCAAAATCCTTCTCCATTGGTTTACATTCAATTCTGATAGAAAATGATTGTTTGTTGACTTTACTGATACATTATATACAAAATCTTTAGTTACAGTTTTCTTTTATCATGACAGTATTGTTCCTGTTTAAAGAAAGGAAGATAATTAGCTTTGTCAGGAAGACTGATAAGCCCATAAGCTAAGCTATTATATTTAATAACAATGTTGACGAAACAATTCTTTTTAGTCATTTATCATTGGCAATGTAGGATTCCCCCTTTGTTTTAATATTTACTGATAAGCAAAATAGTGAACAATACTCAGTTCAAAATAATATATACATGTATCAGAAGTTTTTACATAAATTATATAAGAGCTGGTTAAAAAAAAAAGTCAATTCATCAATGCACTGCAATTATTATTTTCCCAATTCAATATCGATTCAGGGAAATCCTGACATCGATTTCTTTTCGTTGTAATGACACCCCCTCTCCACTGGGGGCACTGTGGGTGCTGCAAATTCAGCTCAGGCACCAATTTGCACTTTAGATATAGTTTTTGTCCATGCCATTACAGCACTGTTATGATTATTACAATTTTTCCTGCAAATTCAGCTCAGGCACAAGTGTGTACTTTAGCTCATACTGTACTTTAATATTTTCTGTGTGTCTTATTAAATCGATTTCAAAGCATATTGGTCAATATCGAATCGAATCGTGACCCAAAGATTTGAAAACGAATTGAATTGAGAGGTTGTGGACAATACCCAGCTCTAATTTATATGATTATTTGACAAGGACAGGGCAGCGCTTCTTAGCTTTACACAAGCTAACTGTAAGCTGTAGTATCAGAGCCGCAAACAACGACTCACTGGTAAACAAAAACAACAACGAACAAAACAACACATTAATCAATTAATCCCTAAATCCACCTACCCACCCACCCACACCTGTATGTCTTTAGTTATCATTTACATCACAAACACCGTAATGCTAACCCTGGCTTCACTTTCCAAGACGGTCCTCGCTCGATTGGCCAAAATGTTACTCTGGTCCTCAGATAGACATATAAACAAGAGCACAGAACACACACCCCACACTGACCCAGCAGTTTCTTCCAGGACTTGATGAGAGTTTTTGCCAGATTCTGAACTTCTTCATCTGAGCTCTGTTTTCTCACTGCATTCACCGACATCCCAACTCTAGTTGACTACAGAAACACACACACACACAGACAAACAAACACACAGACAAACACACACACAGACGTGGAGAAAGAAAGAGAAAGAGAGAAAGGTTACCCCGTTATTAATTAGATAATAAAAGAAACACCTGTTTTGTTTTTTTACACGTTGTATGACTTCAGGTGTACTTTGCAGTGGCAGTGACATGATATTTAAGGGGTATTAATTACCTGCAGGGTCTCCAAAGACATCTTGATGTTTTTAAGTTCCCTCAGCAGGTCCAGAGCTCCGTCCTGCAGAGACAACAATAAAGAAAAACCTTAGCATCAAATTCTTAGTCAATAAAATGTAGTCAAATATCAGCTCAGTCAGGGACTCGACATCCTCAGACTCAAGAAAGGTCTAATGAGGGAATGCATCCGTCTTTTCCAATCGTGTGTCCATGAAATAAACAGAGACGTCTCAAATTGAGGGATTTGTTTCAGTGGACATTATTCAACCTGAACGAGAAAATCAAGGTGGCATTTTGCGTTGAAGGTGAAGATTCATGGTTTCCTGCCCACATTCCCACCCACAGCTGTCACCCAGATGCCCCAAGACAACCATTCATTGTGCACTAAAGGTTACAGAGCGAGTGATGGAGCCAAATCACTGAGTTTAATTATTAATTTGTCATTAAGTGAGGACCGAGATGTGTCAGGGATTTCTTATTTGAGCAAATTAAACATATTCACCAGCCGTGCAAACTTTCTAGGCAAAATGATATTTGCTGCAGCTGTTGCACAGAAATCTTGATCTTGAGATTTATAATGAAATATTCATTCATAATGATGCTTTTTGGAAGTCGTGATGCTTTGTTGAAACATAAGATGAAGACAGAATAAAGGGTTGAGTAAAGAGAATAAAAAAGGTGGGGAATGTATGCTTTCTGTGACAATGCATTTGGTCCTTCAGGGGAAAAAAGCTGGACGTGTTCCCACACTGTCACATGAGCAGCACAGAGACAAGGAGACATACATATACACCAAAATATGAAAGGAGACAAAGGAAGGCAGAAAACAACAGATTAGAAAAAAGAGGAAGTGAGTTGATGGGGTTGTGGATTCTGTAAATCAGTTACAGTAAAAGCCCTCAAAATAACTTTAAAAAAAGCAATAAAGAGAGGAAAAGCACAGAGCACCTGAACTCCAGAAAGGGGCACACAAGAGTTATTTAAAAACTTGTCTTTAGGGAAGCTAAATCATAAAAAACATCAACACGTTTTGATATTCTCGCTCCGATTATGATCTAAAGAAATCAGAACATGTTGGCTTTTTTTTTGTCATGGCTGCACTGACTTTCTGTAACCATTTTGAAAATTCAAGACATGAGAAGTTTAAAATAAGCAAACAAAGAAATGCATACGATATAAAGTCTGGTTTATATTTCAGCATCGTTGTGCGCTGTGTGTGTGTCTGCATAACTCTGCGATACTCAAACTACAAATGCTAGTTGGCAGTGCTGGCCACCGTCTGGGGGTAGAAAAAAAAGGAAAATAATAATTAACGCTGATTGTAGGGGCCCCCAGTGAGTTTTTGCCTAGGGCCCCAACAGACTCTAGAATGGCCCCTGGTGAATATAACAGTAACTGTTGCCAGATTAGATATGTCCTGTAAATAACAGGGAAATAATGAGACAAAGCAACGTAGTGTTTCCTTTCCTCGCTTCTGCCAGTCTGAAGACGAGGGCTGCCAAGCGCACTAAGCTGTCTCACCTGGAGGTTACACCTCCTTGTGGCACAAATTGGAACCACACTCTAAATTAGATTTTACACAAAGTAACAGAACTAATGCTCCCAATTACACATTTACATATTGAAATATACACAATACACAAAAATAAATCACATAATGTGATCACACATTTCTGTGTGTCACACATACTGTAGATGCTTGGCAACAGCTGAAATGGCGTTCATTCAGAGAAAGGTTGTTTCTGTGTGTGTGCGTATTTGACTCGCTTCCTTTATGTATTTGCAGCATGTTTGATGTTAATGCAGTTTTTTGCAGCACGTTTGTTTCATTTGAAGTGTGTTTCAGCCGTTGCATTTGTTTTGGATGTGTGTATTTGCTTTTGAATGTGCAGCGTTCCTGAATATGCTGCACGCTCCTCTAAATGTAAATTGTTTCAGATGTTGTTGAGCCAGATGCCCTTACAGGCCACCGTACAAACACACTGAGACTCATCAAAATAGGAGACATCTTGAGTCAACCGGTTAAAATTTCATATTATTCATATTCTGGATTTATTAATGAGACAAAAGTAGAATAAAATATGTGATTTAAAGAGTAAATAGCATTTATCTATTTAACTCAACAGAGTACATTTAAGGGCATTAACATTTAACTGAAACAAAGCTGCAGGTAGTCAGCCCATTAAATTAAATTTGCATGAAGGTCAAACTTAATCAGCTTATAAACAGAATGGCAGCAGGCTCTTTTTCCAAAATGAAGTTCTGTATATTCCTGAATCATTTACCTTTAACTTGATTTTTCATTTCCTTACATTGAAATGAAACTGAACTTTCCTGGGCACAAATGAAACATTGATGTATGATGTGTGCCTCACTGACAGAATTTTCTTTTAAAACTTGGCAGAATTTTTTGATTTTTAATCATATGGGACTTATTTAATAACTGACACACTGACAGTCGGTGATTTTTCATTCAAAATGTAAGAAAACATGATTTAATGAGCTGTAGAAACCATAAAAAAAAAAATCAGAGACGCAAGTTGACGGGATAATTGATTCAAGGTGCGGGTGTTTTAATTGGCAGCTTTTTGACCAATGGCTGCAGTGATTCATCGACAAACTTTTCCCTAAAACATGTGAAAAACAGAAGCAGCAGACTTTGTTGTGAGAGAAGTTATGAGCATGGTAAATCCTTTTTCCACGGTGCACTGAGCAGAGTAAAAACACACACTGTCCGCGTTTCCAGAATGTTCCCTCTCTCAGCAGTTAAAAGGTAGAGCCCGGCTCATCACCTGATCGCGTGTTTTTCAGCGGATGCAGCGGCTGTTTTTTTTTTTTTTGTGCAACTCACCGTGTTCTTCTTGTGCACCATTTTATCCAGCTTTTTGGCGATGCGCTCCACTTCCTGGTTTTTGGCCATTTCGAGCGGATTTCTCTCTCCGTCAGTTCTCCTCCTCTGCAGCGGTGAAAACCTCCATTGATGTGGAAGACAAAACTCTCCCCGGTCTGTCTCTCTTTCCTCCTCTTTACGCAGTCTGTCTGTCTCCTTCTCTCCCCAGCTGCTGCCTGCCTCTCGTTTGTTATTGTGTGACAATGTGGGACGCTGGGAGTTGTAGTTTTTCTTTTTTGGTTCTGTCCCAATTCAGAAAGTTGACCAGAACTTTTCAATGACACTTAAAGAAGCAGACCTCCAACCCTCAGAGGAAAAACACTCTGTCATTCACCAGGATGAGGACATGAAAGGTCGTTTCATTTTATTTCATATATTTCTTTTTTTAATGAGGGCTGTGTTTGGATGAATAGCAGGTGAAATTGATGTAATTTATATTAACATGTTGAAAGGCTTGTGCATCATTTGCAGGAATCAAAGTGATTTGTTTGTCATGTGATGCATTTATTATTAAGCAAGGAAAATTAAAACTAATTAGACACACACTTCAGTGCAAAAGACTCAATGGAGCTGTAGCAGCATCATCTTAGAACATCTCAAACCACACATTAGGCCTGCTTGTGATTTAAACATACTCTGCAGGTTCACTTGAGAAATCTCTCCTTTGCTTGCACTCTGCATTTTCAGCACTTTATACTTTAGACGAATCCAATTTAATTAGTTTTTCTTAATGTTTTACTCAAGTCCTATGAATTAATATTACATTTGTATCTGTGTTGGCTAACTGTCTCAATTTGTAAAAATCTTTTACATTTGAACTTAATTTGTTTGATCATTTAGTTTTTTGCACACAGCCTTCGTTCCCCCAAACTTGGGGGGGACAGAGCCTTCTCCATAGCTGCCCCCCTCCCTCTGGAACTCACTCCCTACACACATTCAACACTGCACCGACCCTCCTACTTTCAAATCACTGATCAAAACTCACCTCTTCAAACAAGCTTTTAATGTATGATTGTGATGTATTTTCTGTTTTCTGTAGTTTTACCTTTATTGTTGTTATCTTTATGATTTGTGTGTAATGTTGCAATGTCTGTTAGTCTGTCTTACTGTGCTGTTCTTTCTGTTTTTAACTATTTGTACAGTGTCTTTGAGTTTTTGAAAAGCGCTTATAAATAAAATGTATTATTACATAAACACAACATAATTTTGGAGTAAAACTTCTATTTTATAATTCATCAACTTTATGCTTGACCTGTATGCACTACCTTTGTCCTTCCTCTAGATGTCACTGTTGTTTTTCTTTTCTGTCTTTGGTTTCAGCTGCAGGAGTGTTGATAGTAGCCCACAGTGACAATCAAGTGTGTATTTCTGTAAGAGGCCACATTTTCATTTGGTCTGAATGATGTTTCCTTTTTTTTTTTTGACTGAAATTTCACTTAGTGTTTTGAAAAAAAAACAGCTCTGCACACAGGCTTCAGTGTAAGTGTGCGTATTACGCCATCATGGGACCTGCAGGTCAGGTAAAAGCTTGGCTTTTTCATTAAATACTTGCAGGGCACGTGACACTGAGATGGAAGTCAAATGACTTAGCAGTTGCACCTAGTGATATAAAAACTCTCACAGCTAGGATACAGCCTACTTTTGCTTCTACTGCTGATTTATTTAATGGGCATACAGAGGTGTATCTCCTTTACATTTCATTTTCTGGAGCTTTTTCCGTCTTTAAAAAAGTAGAATACCCCCCAAATATATCTGGAGCACTTTTAATACCTCAGTAAAGATGTATGTTCATAAAAGAAAGCAACTTAAATTCTACAGGATCCAACACATTTTAAGTAACATGAATTTCTGAACTATGAAAATAGACCTTTTTTTTTTTTTTTTTTTAAAGGGGTCACAATATGGATGTATGCTGCGAGTGACTGCTCTAATGTGAGCTGAGGATGCGTCCAGACAGTACTGATTTAAGTCAACACAGACCAAAAATAAATAGAACTGTCCGTTATTTTTGTTATTTACAGAATGCCTTCGAGCTTAAGTTCACAGAGTCTATATAGTGGTCCTCTCTCTCTCCCCCCCCCTCTAAATTTAAATCAGACTCCGCTCTCTCTGCATTCCAGATGAGTAAATATTTCTTGGAGAACCATCTTTTTTTTTCTTGGTCTCATGAATTTCTTGCTGCTTGATGTCCTCAGCCAAGAGCTTCCTCCAGCTGAGGCTCTAGAGCGGAGCTGGCAGCAACATTAGCAGCTGCTTGGTGAGATATCTGCCTGTGTGTGTGTGTGTGTGTGAGAGAAAGTGTACTTATTTGACTTTGTGAGTCCCTGTTTGATTTTGAGACCTTGGGAAGGGGACCTTAATGCAAAATGAGGTATATACACGATATGACAGACATTCAAAGGGCTGGCACATAATTAAAATGTGTGTGTACTTGTATAGTTATCTTTCTGGGGACTGATACAATTTCTAGACATGCAAATTGAGATATTTTTTTTGCCAGTCCTAACTCCAGGACAGACCTTCAAAGGGATGTTTGAGGGTTCATACTTGGTTTTGAGGTTAAGCTTAGTAAAAGTTTTAGGACAGGGAAAAGGTCTTGATGTTGCAGTATGTCAATTATGATTCTTACAATAAAGAAATCCAAACATCTTCTTGCAAGACACATTTTGCAACAAGCCAGGAAAAGATGCAGATGAGATCAATTCCAACTCTTAAGATGTCGGAAAAACTGTTTTCAGCCAGTTTAGAAAGTCTTCCATGCATGTAGAGATTCTGAGTTAAGAAACATTTTGAGTGGTCTCTTGTTTTTTTTTTAACAAAGAACAAAAATAGGGCCAAATTTTGATTTCTGAGCTCTTGATTAGTCAAACCATCTGTATTCTGTTTAGATTTTATATGAAACTTATTTTTGTTGTCTTATTCGAGCTCTGAAAAATAGTGCATCTTGTGGTTTTCTTAATTTTCTGAAGAAAAAAAATGAGAAAATTTTAAGGTGACAAATATAGAAAATAAAACAACAAAATTAAACTTATTCCAAAGCCTGAGTATACTCGCTTTTAACTACGAGTACACGAACGCATGGCATCAGCCTTGCGTATCCTGAGCTGGTTTGGAGCGTTGGTTGTGCTCAGAAATTAGCGCTATGCGTCTGCGATCCACAAAGAACAGAGTCATATTTATTACGTTTTGAAAGATCTTGTGTTTGAATCAGTGAAATCGTCTCTACCAGGTGTTCAGCAGAGAGCCGCTACAACAACGGTGGAAAGTTTGAAGAAAAGTTAATAGACCAAGTCCCCGCACTAAAATGCCGTTGCATAGCAACAAACATGCATGCCAAAATAGCTGGCGACAGATCATCTATACTTCTGTGTTTGATGCGATCTGATGTGTGGTGCTCCCTCTAGAGGAATCCTCCAGTATCACACTTTGTACATAGGCATTGCGTGTGTCTATGCATATGTGTGGTTCACAAGCAAGAATATTTCAGCCTTAACACAACATTTTAAATAGTAGAACCAGAGAAAAACATATTCCGGTCTCTTTAAATGGGTCTTACTTGTTTTGATTTGAAGACAATTTACTTACTAATGCCACTAAGTCGTCCATGAATATTTTATGAGATTTTAAATATTGCACAGGCCATCTAAAACCTACAGTACATGTTGTCTTTTGTATTGTGGATAGTCTTCTGTAGAAGGTATAGGTGTCCTTTTTGAATTGTTTTCAGAAACAAGCAGATATTGAGTAATGTGTACGTTTTTAACTGGCTGCATAAATCAGCTGCCCCACTCAGTGATCTCATGTTTTTGAGCATCTTGTTTGATGTAATTTCAAGTTAATAGATTTTGGTTTAGATCTTTAAAATGACTCTTTCAAGAAAACGCCCTCCCGACCTTGGTCTTTTGGATTAACCTCTGACAGCAGGAACTGTTCATTCTGCCTGGACTAGATCTATGTACCCATAAAGTATTTGTTCTGTTTGTATCAGATCAATAAAACCCGCTATCAGAAGCTAAATTCAGGAAATGCCCTCTTCTTGTGATCTATGGACTCATTCGAAGTCACCTCTGACGCCAGGAAGTGCTTCTCTGCTTTGACATGGGTCTTTTGGAGTCTCTGTTCTGGACCATCTGAAGCAGGAAGAGCCCACTCACCTTGATCTGACGGTGCTGATGTTGACCCAGGAAGTGTCCTTTCTACTTCTACTAGATCTATAGAGCCACTGCTAGTTATGACCTCAGACAGGAAGTCTCCTCTCTGTTGGATGGATGGAGCTATTCTTATGTCCTTCAGAAAGCAGGCCAAGTATTGTGTTGAGCCAGCTCCGTCTTCCTCTCTGATGGTAAATGACTCTGCCGAAGCTTCTCCAGAAAGCAGGTTGTTTCATGTTTTTGGAAGTAAGTAAGATGATTACGTTTGATTTATTTGATGTACAACGACTAATGAGACTTGAAGAAGTTTTTTAAGGGAAATTAGACGTTTGCTTTTAGGATATTTCCACTGATGAGGAAGTCGAAATAAAAATCTACCGACAGCAATACTCCAGGATGATAGTCAGCAAGTTACATGAGGACACAACTGGATGCAAGGAGAGAAAAGTGTAACATCTTGAATAGTTACTGTACAACAAATCAGTGCTGTGAAGTCGTTCATCTGGCATGTGGAGAGTAGAGTCTGCCAACAGGATGTGATTATTGGAAAACATTGAAAACAGGCGACACATGGTGGAGATTTATGCTTAAACAGAATTATTTTCAAACACAGTTTTTTTCCATCTTAACAAGAGAAAAGTCTTAAAGGATGAAGATGAACTTCTTTCTTGATAATACACCTGGTTAACTTCCCCACCAGCTTTAGAGCAGCTCACATTCAGTGTACAAAAAACTTTAAAGGTTTTATGTGATTTTTTTTGTAATATAAATCAAGTATATCCTCTGAAAATAACTCTGTGAGTCATGACTGTCTACAATGGGTGTAACACCCGAGTCCCACTGTCTGTGATGCTTTCAGAGTCCTATCTTCAGTTTGTTTACATCGCCAGGACAACCGGCTGACTCCTCCCCTCGTGTATAAAAGTTGTTTCATTGAGGGACTAGAGAAAAGAAGAATAACATACTGTACTCACTGCTTAACTGTGTTTCTAGATCACGCTCATTTCAGGTAAATTTACATGCAGCGTTAAGA